TGTGTGTGATTTGTTATAATGCTCAGCGCTACAAAAATATAACTTGTCAAAGGAAATCTTTGATGAAATGTGAGCAGATCTAAATGTAATGCCACAGTCGACAGGTTTTATTTATTTATTTATTTTTCACGTTTCAATGAAATCACATTGTAATTGTTTTAGTTTGCACAAGAGCATTTTTTCCCCACAAATTCAAGATATGCATTTTGGTACATTTTTTGCACCAAGTCCTACTAATTTTCAATCCTAGGGTGAACTATTGTTTTAATAACATTTCAATTAAAGCAAATTACAATTTTTCCTCTATATTTGCTCCATCCCTGCTGAGGACATTTTTATAAAGTGGTAGAGACAAAATTGTCCATGAGGACCGTAATGATATCTCTGTATTGAAGCACAAAGCTTCTTTCAGGTAACAATGATCAGGTGCATCTAAGTTTCAGAGTGAATCCGCTCTGATGTGTTTGCAGCCTGAAGGAAGGCCATTCTTTCCTCTTTCCTCTGTTTGAGTGTTAATGACAGGCAGCAGAGGAACCTGAGACTCAGTCTTGCTCCAATTACCGCTTACATCAAGATCCGTCAAATCCCACAAAACCGCAGGAGATCCCCAAAACACACACGCATAATGACACCGACCTGTTTTATGACAGGAGACATCTCTCTTTAATTTTATGGCTCTGTTTTTTAATTTTTTTCTCTTATTTTCCAGCCACTTTTCATAATCTGTTCATTTTCCAATTAATCAAATCGAGTCCCTCCCAAATCCATCGTAAAGGTGGAAATGTTTGCCTTCGTGCTTTTGCGTTGAGCAAGTTTTTGGCCTTAAATTAACATATTGACTGGTTTTTCTGAGTATACTCTAAAAAATATGGCAGCACTTTACAATAAGGTCTCATTTGTTTAACATTAGTTAACATGATCTAACTATGAGCAATATATTGTATATAGCATTTATTAACTTTGTTAATGCACTGCAAAAACTTTATTGTTTTCCAGCACAAATATCTAAACACTTTTTAAATCAAGATACATTTAGTTGAAAAGCAAAATGACATGATATATTAAGTCTGGGTCAGTGCTATTTTAGTATCACTGAGATACTATTATAGTTTTTATTACAGGGTATCTGCAGGATTTTTAAGATCAGATTTAAGACTTTTTAAGACCTTTTTTAAGACTTGCACAATTCAATTTAATACTGTATGAGCAGTGTAGGGCAATGTCTATGGTAACATTAATCTGTAAAATGACTGTTAAGAAGCATGATTTACAGTTCAGATACAGGTTTTCACAAAAACAAAAAGTTTTATAAAATGCTAAACTTTACTTTTCAGACTTTACATTATTTTTAAGAAAATGGATGAGCCAAAAGTATCAATTATTATATTAATTTAAACAATTATCAATCAATTATTATATTAATTAAATAACATATAAATATATTTTACTGTCTTAATTGTTTGGATTTTTATAATGCATTATCTTCTTGTCGATCCACTAGTTCACATTTACAACTTTGCATGTTTGCTGCATAAAAAACATGGGTCGATTTTCACATTGGTCTGAACAAAACCAGCAGACGGCAGTAAACAAAGCAGCAGCACCTGACTCTGAAACGACAGCTCATATTTATTCAATAAAATCACAGCCTTTTGAAGATTAATCGTCACACTAATCTTTCTTTCCCCAACTTTAAGACCTCTTGAAGTCATAATTAAGACTTTATTGTACCTTTTAATACTTTTTATGTACTTAAATTTGACACAACCAAATTTACGACTTTTTAAGAACCCGCAGAAACCCTGTTATTAATATTTTGAATCAGTTTTTATTTGTGTATTTTCTGTTTATTTTTAAGTTTAAAGTTTTAGGTTTTTGTCATTTTTTGTCTTTTTTGTGTTTGTTTGATTGTTTTTTATGCAAGTCCATAGAGTTTGTTTTAGTAAACCAAGTTAAAATGAATTAAAATGAGAAATGTTGCCTTGGCAACCAGCTAAAATAGTTTTTCATATTTGATTTTATTTCAGTTAATGTTTATTTTATTTCAAGTACAATTTTTTTTTTAAAGGGGTCATATGATGTTGCTAAAAAGAAACATTATGTTGTGTATTTGCTGTAATGAAATGTGTTTATGCGGTTTAAGGTTCAAAAAATAATTTTCCACATAATGTACATTATTGTTGCTCCTCTATGTCCCGCCTTTCTGAAACGTGTTGATTTTTACAAAGCTCATCGTTCTGAAAAGCGAGGTGTGCTGTGATTGGCCAGCTATCCAGTGCGTTGTGATTGGCTGAATTCCTCAAGCGTGTGACGGAAATGTTATGTCCCTTACCATACTGTGATGCCGTGTCCCGAAGCGATGAGACAAAAACATTAAAAACCCATTACAAACGAGGCATTCGTTGCATCCAGTGGGGACATAATTACGGATTATAATGACTTATACTGTCTTTTTACACGTTGCGTTGCATTGCATCGCGCCGCGTAAACATAAAACCATGTCTGCATTTGTGATCGGAGAAACGACAAACAACAAGCGCTACTCTACACTGCCCAAAACTCACGTTTGAATCGTCAGTGGCAAATCCTTTAAATATGAAAACGTACTTACAGGCTGTGAGTCAGAAGTGCCAGACTGTCCTTGCAAAGTTGGAACT